CCTCGCCCCCTCCCGCCCTGCTCGCCCCGGAACAATGGAGCCCAGTGTGGCCGCGTCGCCCTGTGCGCCCCGCGCCCGGCCTCAGCCTGAGGCTCCTTCCGGGCCTTGGTCGCCCCCGGGGCCCCCTCTGTCCAGCCCCGCTGACCCCCGCCCCCCGCACTGGCTCCCGGGCCCGTCCCGCCCGGCCGGAGGAGGCCATGGGGCCGGCTGGGGACTCTCACCCCTTTTCCAGATGAGACTCGGGGACACTGGGAAACTTGGCGACCCTGCTACGTCCTGACCCCCGAGGCCAGCGCCCGCCACCTGCCAGACCCAGGGGCCTGGCACGGGGGGTGGGTATGGGGGAGGGGAGGGGGGAGAGGAGAGCCAGCAAGCAGCAGCCGGACCTCGTCCCAGACAGCTGAGGTGTGCGTCAGGGGAGAGGGGTGCCCGGCAGGTCCGAGGCCCTGGTTCCTTTCCTGGGACTCAGCCTTTCTTTCCCCCAGAATCCCAGGCCCCGCCCAGCAGGCCCCCCTCTGTCAAGTGAGTAATCCACCGAGTCCTGTCTGCCGGCCTGGCCTGGAGCCGGAGGCCCTGCACCCACTGCACCCACCCCTCCCCGTGCCCCTGCCCTGAGAGAGCCCCCCCACCTGCCTGGGCTGGGGGCGTCCAGCTGTGGCCTTCCCCAGGCACAAACCCAGGAGAGACAGGACACCCCGATTCTGTAGAAGGAGCTTGACAGGTGATGGCTTCGCTTAGGAATAAAACATCCAACAACTTGGAATGGAGCCCTTCCCTCTCCTCCCCGCCCCTGCTCCCCTTCCCGCCCCCTGCACCTCTGTCCCCATCTCGCCTTCTAGGAAAGGGGCCAGGGCCCCAAAGGGTGCTCACCCCCTGAGGGGGTTGGAAAGGCCAGAGACAGGTTTGCTCTGCGGAGTCCCCAGAACCTTCCAGCCGCAGCTGGGGTGGGGGTGGGGGGTTATGGAAAATTCCAGCCCCTCCTCTGTTCTGGGTGAAAGCTGTGACACCCCCCCCCCCACTGGGGACAGTGGGAGGGCGTGGCTTCCTCAGTCCCCTCCCTTCCCAGGCTCTGGCTTGGCACCTGTCAGAACGGAGGGGCTGCTCAGGGGAAGGGGCGCCCTCCCGCCAGCCAGCCTGTGGGTGCGTGCGTCCTGTGTGCACACCCAGCCCTGTAGACACACCTGTGCAGGCATGCCTCACGCACGTGTGCATCCAGCCCGGAACTCACGACCCGCCAGGGCGATGACACTTACTCAGAACTGGTTGCACTCTGGGGGTCCATGCTGGGCCCCGCCCAGAGCCTCCCGCAGGCCCCACGGGCAGGGCGGGGTGGCTGAGTCCCTCCCCCGCCAAGCCCTGAGTGTGTGGCCCCAGCGGCCTCCTGGCCCGTGGAGCTGGGTTGTTTTCACAGCCAGACTCTGACCCGCTGAGCCTGCAGACACCGCGGCCATTCATGCCTCCCGCCCCGCCCTCCTCGGGGCTGCTGCCCCGGCCGGCCAGCTGCGTCCACCACTGCCAGGGAGGCAGTCCTTGACGGCCTGTTTCTTCTGTATTCTCAGCCAGACCCCATGCAGCCAAGGTTGTGGCGGGGGGGGGGGGGGGGGGGGGATGTATGTGTGACATGAGTAGACCCCCTGAGGGGTGGGGTGGGGGCACCAGAGGGCAGTGGGGGGTGCGTGGGCAGTGGGGGGTACGTGGGCAGCTCTGTGTAGGGCCCTGAGAGCAACAGAGCGGATGATGCAACAGGGCTCACTTCCTGCTTCTCACATCACCCTGTGCGCCGCGTGGTCATGTGACCCTGACCCCAGGGCCCTTGCACAGGCCCGGGACAGCCTCCCTCGGCATTCCAAATGACTCAGTGTTCCCAGCCCCAGCCGCGCTCAGCACCTTCATTCAGGCTGCACACCCTCGCACCTGCCCGCTTGCTTGTCACACACTTCTGCTAGCTTTGTGTGTGTTTTCGGTGGTGGCACTGGAGCTTGAACCCTCGGGCCACGATTGTGCTGTAAGGCAGGTGCTATGGCACGTGAGCCATTCGTCTCCCATTCCTTGATTCCTTGTGTTTTGGATAAGGCCTGGGACTGAGGCCCCTCCTCCCTTGGTGTGCGCTCCCACACCCACCTCTCAGCAGGCTCTGGATGCGTTCACAGTTTGCTTTCTGGTGCCAGGTTCAGCCCTGCATCTCCAGGGCCACACGGACCTGATTCTGGTACCGGCACCTACTGACTGGTTGAGTGACTTCATGGTGACTATTAAATGGACAGTCAGAGCTGACAGTTAGTGGGTGGATGGTCCGCCCAGGGTTTGGCATGTATTATTGTGGTTCAGCTTCATGGTGATTGAATAGAGTCGGGAGTACTGTAATCCCCACTGACTAGAAGCAGACGTGGAAGCCCAGAGAAGTTTGGTAACTTACTGAAAATCACACAGCTGGTTGGAAAGAAAAACAAAAACAAACCAAGAGGCTCCAGTTAGGAGGAGGCCACTGTGGTCTCTGCCGCCATCCTGGAAGGACCTGGGTTCTTTTCCTCTCCTTCTCTGGGATAGCTTCCTTCCAAGAACTCTGGGAACTGGAACATTCTAGCACTCTATGACCTGTTCAGGCTGGGGGGGGGGGGCTAGACCGCCAGCCCAGCAGCTGGGGCCTCTCCGAGGTGGGGGCCTCCCTGGACTCGTGGTCCTGCCCGGCTGCAACAGCAGCTAAGAAGAGGGTCAGGAGGTAGCTATGTGACTTCCTGCCGGAGGCCACGGCGGCCCTTCCCCAGCGGGAGGGGGGACCGAGTGGAGGAGAGGGGCGCCCTTTCCCCCACTGCCCGAGGCCCTGGGCCATACAGCAGGAAGGCTTGCCGGGTCATCTAGTGAAAACTCGGACCCCGGGGCCTCGGGGTTAGTGACTTACCAAAAAGGGCGAATGGGCGTTCAGGCCTGTGGAGGGCGGCAGGGCTGGGGGGTGGATTTTGCAAAAAGTATCCAGGAATAGACTTTTTCTTTTTCCCACTGACTTTGGGATGTGTCAAAGACAGCTCGGAGCTGGGCCTGGGGGTACACGCCTGTAATCCTAGCGGCTTGAGCGGCAGAGATGAGGAGGATCTCAGTTCAGGCTCGGCCCCTGGTCAAAAACCAAAACCAAACAAACAATGTGATACCTTATCTTGGAAAATAAAGCAACAATAAAAAAGCAAAAGAAAAGGCTGGAGGCTTGGCCCAAGTGGTAAATCATCATGCTTAGTTCGTGTGAGGCCCTGAGTTCAAACCCTGTATGCCTTCCCCACCCCGCACCCCCAAAGAGAGCTCCGATTTACGTCTGCATGCAGCATTGCCTCTGCCCCTCTGGCCTGGGACAGTCAGGCTTCTCCCCTGGGTGTTATCCCCCATCAGAGGCTAAGCAACTCTCACTTGGCTGGCCCCTTCTCAGACGGGGAAACCGAGTCAGGGACGGGGAAAGGCTTAGCCCAGGGCTGGATACCCGGGCTGCTTTGCTTCCCTGTTTAACCTTGGCTGTGGTGGCCAGATCCCCAGTGTGTCCCAGGTCACCAAGGGATGGGGCTGGGGCTGGCCGGCTGGGCCACTCCTGGAGGCCCTCTTAAGAGTATATGGGTTCTGGAAGTTTCTAGAAGCGCTCACTGGCTGCGGTGCCCTCTTTTACCCATCGCTTTCCTCATGGTGGCTGGTTCCTGTCCTTGGTGTCTAGCGTTCAAGTCTCTGCCTCCCCGCCTCCCCCGCCCCGGAGTGTGCTCTGTCATCTCTATGTCAGAGCGTGGGATATAGAGGGGACTCTTGCGGTCTTGCCTTGGGGCCACCTGCTTTTGGGGGAGGGGGTAGGGTATGAACTCAACGGTCTCATGTTTTGCTCTACTTGTTTGTTCTGCTGGTGCTCTACCATTTGAGGCATGCCTCCAGCTTTGCCTTTTGCTGGCTATTTTGGCGATGGAGTGAAGACTTTGCTACCTAGGCTGGCCTTGAACCTCAGTCCTCCAGATCTTCAGCTGCCCCCTGAGTAGCTAGGAGTGCAGGCGTGACCCTGGTGCTCATCAGCTCATTCACCTTGGCATCTTGTTGCACCACTGTGCTCGAAGGAGGCTGGCGACTGCCGGAGGAGCCCAGAGCCGGTGCCTGAGCTGGTAGGGCGAGGCTCCAAGCCAGGTCCCCTGTTTCCTCCAGCCGGAGCTGAGCCCGGGAGGCGGAGTGCTGGTCAGCGCGGCGTGACGCTGCCCCGCTCCCTTCTCCTCCAGGTCAGCCATGTCATCTGAGCCTCCCCCGCCGCCACAGCCCCCCACGCATCAGGCCCCGGTCGGGCTGCTGGACACTCCTCGGGGCCGGGACCGGTCACCTTCTCCACATCGGGGCAACGTGGTCCCCAGCCCTCTGCCCACCCGCCGGACCAGGACCTTCTCCGCGTGAGTCTGAGAGGGAGGCAGGCCAGGAGGGAGACTGGGAAGGAGGCCAGGAGGGAGGCTCAGAGATCCGCTAGCTCAGCTCCCTGCCCCCACATGGGAAACAGGCCTGGGAAAGCATGCCGGGCCAGGCTCGGCAGAGGCTGACTGCTGCCAGTCTGCCCAGATGGATGACTCCCACGCCTGCTAAGCACAACCCAGCCAGCACCCCCCAGGGCTCAACTGCAGGCAGGGCGGGGTGCCATGGGTTTGCCCCAGCAAGAGTAGGTGGCTTGGCTTGGCCCGGCGCCGGTGGCTCACGCCTGTCATCCTAGCTACTCAGGAGGCTGAGATCTGAGGATCGAGGTTCAAAGCCAACCCCGGGCAGGCAAGTCCGTGAGACTCTCATCTCCAATAAACCACCAGAAAACCGGAAGTGGCGCTGTGGCTCCAGTGGTAGAGCGCTCGCCTTGAGCTGAAGAGCTGAGGGACAGCGCCCGGGCCCAGAGTTCAGGCCCTACGACCGACCAAAAATAAAAAGAGTGGGAGGCTGTGCCACAAGCTTGCCCGTTGCCCCTCCCCTCTGTGGCAGGACGGTGCGGGCATCCCAGGGCCCTGTCTACAAAGGAGTCTGCAAGTGCTTCTGCAGGTCCAAGGGCCATGGCTTCATCACCCCAGCTGACGGCGGCCCCGACATCTTCCTGCACATCTCTGAGTGAGTCGGCGGTGGCAGGGCAGGGCGGGGACAGTGAATGGTCACTCTGCTGCATGTCCATGTGCCCGGGCATCATGTGGGCAGACATAAGGTAGCTGGAGCTGATTGGTGTTGGGAGCTGGGGTGGGGTCTGGATAGTCCTCTAAGGCCCAGTCTGTCTCAACTGCAGGGCGTGGCCATGTGTGTGTGTGTGGGGGGGGAGGATCCTGGTGTCCGTGGTAGACAGTATCTGTGTGCTCTGCCTTGGGCTGTGGGTCCACTTCCGGTGTCCCTCGGTGGCAGGCAGTCTGTGGAGGCTCGGCTCCAGGAAGGAAGTTTGGGGCTGGACCCTCGCTGTCATTACTTCACTGATTTCCTTCCTGAGTGTCTGGAATCCTCAGGGAGCTGGGCTGCGGCGGCCTGTGTGTCCTTGGGCTTGGAAGGAACCAGCAGCTTCTGGATCTCAGCCTCTCCTCAGTAGCTAGGATTACAGACACCCTGTGGTCTTGAAACTATTCATTCCCTGCTCTGCCTCCCGAGTAGCTGGGGTTACAGGCGTGTCCCACCACACCTGGCTCTGACAGGGACTTTCTTGGGGAGCTCAGGGGTGGAGATACAGTCCCCTAGGACTCTTGGGGACAGGGGCTAGTGTATCCACCTCACTTCTCTGGGTCTTCCTCTCTTGGGGCCACGGCTTCTACAGGTAGTGTCAAGGTGTGAACACCCACAGGGGTTCCCCCGGGCCAACTAGGCAGTGAGGCAGAGCCGTGGCGCCCCCTGGTGGAAGGGCCGGAATGACTGCTCCTTGGAAACGGCTCTGGTCAGCCAGCTGCGTGCCTATCCCGGCCAGTGGGGGGCTGGCGACTTGGGGCGGCTGCTGTGGGGCTTTCCTGGATGGGCTCTGACTGTTCTTTGTTACACCCCTTCTGCAGCGTGGAAGGGGAGTACGTCCCGGTGGAAGGCGACGAGGTCACCTATAAGATGTGCTCCATCCCACCCAAGAACGAGAAGCTGCAGGCCGTGGAGGTGGTCATCACTCACCTGGCACCAGGCACCAAGCATGAGACGTGGTCTGGGCACGTCGTCAGCAACTAGGGGACCCGCACGACCCTTCTCCCGGGTTTGGGGGAGACTCTGGGGGGAGGAGGAGGCGGGGCTACCCCGGCCATGACGCCAATTCTATCATGCGATGGGGCTTCCAGTTGGGACGCGACATTCCTGGAGGAGGAGAGGGGAATGGCGGAGGGTAGGCATGGGGGGTGGAGAGGGGCTTGGCGGCCACCAGCACAGCCTCCCGTCATCGCAACACGCTCTCCCCACCTGAAAAGCATTAAAAGCATTTAAAAAGGAGAGGCGCCCCCTGGTGGCTGAGTGGAAGGGCCACCCCGCCCCCCCCTAGCTCTGGGGTGGGTCTCTGGTAGTAGTTTCCTAGCTGTTGGGCTCAGCCCGCCCATCCCCTTCTGTATTGGAGATTCAAAATCCTCAGGCCTGTGGCCTACTGAGACTTCCCCAGGGAAATTCCTCACGCCCTCCCCCCCCAGGGGCTTGGCTTTCAGTGCCTTTGTGGCTAATCTCTACTTTCTCTGACAAACTTGGTCCCTTCTCTGTCTAGTTTCTGGACACCTGCAGCTGTCCCAGGCCCGCCCATTCAGGTGGGGATGGAGATGGGTGCAGGGCGGCATTCTGGGAAAGGGAGGTCTTTTGTTTAAACACAGAACTTTTCTCTGGCGGGCATGGTGATTCATTTGTGTTAATTCCAGCACTTGGGAGGCTGAAGCTGGAGGACTGGATGTTAAAGGGCAAGCTGGGATACACTGATCTTGTCTCAGAAAAACAAAGGTTTGGGGGTGTGGTTCCGTGGAAGAGTGTTGCTGAATATTCCAGAAGCCCTGGGTGCCATCCCCAGCACCACAAAAGACGACCTTGGTCTGCATCCATCCTTCCAGAAAGACTGTGCATTCCGCTTGTAGTCAGCCTTGGAAAGTGAGAAATTGATGGAGAAATGGACGTTTGGTGAGGGTTGGGAAGGAGTTCTTTCACACTGGTGTTCAGAAATGCTTATAGATCTTTTTAAAAAAAGTGATCCTGGAGCCTGGCTTCCTCCTCAAGAAGAAAACCTGATCGTTTTCATTTCCTTTGATATTGGGAGCTTGAACCCAGGGTCTTTGCGCTGGTTTTTTTTTTTTTTTTCATTTTCTTTTTTAAGCAGTCACCCGGAGCTGGCTGTTTGCACTTGGCAGCGGTAGTGTGGGATTCCGTAGTTAGTTCCAGTGTGTGCATGCTTATGGCTTTCTTTGCTGTGTGCTTTGGTTTTCATTGGGATTTAAAAATAGCAATCATTGGGGCAGATGTTGTGCAATCAACAGTCCGTATGTAGTCAGGAATGCTTGACAGCACCGAGAGGTGGGTCTTGAAGCCAGGCTGATGATCTGGCCAGGATGGGCAAAAGCCCAACTGATCTGGGCAGCCACGAGGGCTGCGTGGAGGGTCTATGCGTGGATGCCGTTGGTTGTTCTAGCCCTGTGGGGCGAAGACTAGACATAATTTGCCAGGGATAGACTTATTTGAAGTAGGGGGATGAGTGTGTGTGTGTAGCCACAGCCATTCAGTTATAGATTGTTTTGTTATGGGCCATGCACCGTGGGGTGGCCAGGTCAAAGGTGGTCCCCTTTCCCGCTGGTGTTGGCTTCCTCTCCCCTGTGTTCCCAGGGGCCTGGCCACTGAGTACACGGCACAATTCCCAAGCCCCTGGCTTCTCAACGTCTCTGGATGGCTGTCCTGGCTCAGGCGTGCTGGCTGGCTGGCTGGCGGCCGGCTCTGCCCCCATGGTGACCGCTGGATTCTCTCACTTGGCAGAATCCTTTGTATAAAGGGCTTTCTGTGCGGCCACATCTTTTCAGTTCAGGAACATTCTGGAACTGCAAGCTATGAGAGCTGAAAGGGACCTGCTATCCCCTCAGTCTCAGTTTAGGAATGGAGAGGGACACAGGGCTAGTGACCGGGCCGCGCCTCCCGCCAGCCACCTTTCTCTATTCAATAAAGTCTGTTTTGCGCACAGCTCTGTGTGTTTGTGCATGTGTAAGCTTCCCTGTGTGCGGAAGGCCGGGGAGTGAGGCATCTGTGTTCCCCCCAGATGAAAGTGATCACTGGCATGGTGGGTGGTGTGTAAATGTCCCTGTTTGAGGACACAGCGCATCGGGGCCGAGTTCTCGGGGCCACCGAGCTACACGAGGCTGTCTCCCATGCTGGAGGTTCAGTGGCTCAGGGCTGAGGACAGCCTGGTGTAAGTAGGGACAAGTGACAGCTAGGGAGGAGGGTGGAAGAGGGGTGGGGTGGGGCGCTGCTCTGGGGGGGGGCTTTGCACAGAAGAGTGACCTTCTCTGGTGTGCAGGAAGCTCTTGGGGACTTGTCAGATGGAGTGAGCACAGGTCCGAGTGGCAGGGGGAAGCGGGGAGGGGGGGTGGTAAGCTAGAGACCAGGAATAACTGGGAAATCAGCCTGGGGTGAGTTCTGGAGGCTGACTTTGGGGTACTGTGCAGGCGTGAGGGGCTAAAGTGAAGGGGGAAGAGGAAGAAACAAGGAATTCAGATGGGGGGGAGGATTTGAACCCTCTCCAGTTCCTTCCCACCCAGCAGGCCCTGTGGTCAGCTTCATCCAGGCTCCTCTTCCAACACCCTGGCTGACCTCGGGCCCACAGGCAGCCTCTGCTCCTCATTGCTCAATGGGTCTTGCACGGAAATGACTTGTGCTGCTCCTGCCAGCAGCCAGAGGCTGAGGGAATGAGGGGAGAGTGGCGGGGTCCTGGCACACGAACTGCGTTGCTCTAAGTGGCTTCTTTACGAAATACATGACCCATCTGACAGGTGAGCCCACTGAGGCAGAGCTCAGTGGAGGCACAGCTGGCCAGCGGCTGCCTCACCTGGTCCACCTCGGAAATCTGCTCTGGGTGCAAACAAGTGTCACACACGTGACCTAGCTACCAAGGCCCCTGGGAGGTGGAGGAGGAGGGGTTTGGAAGGGGGAGAGGGGAAGCAAAGCCTGTGTGGGAAGGAGGCTGATCTGCGGGGGTAGGGAGGGTGAGGGGTGGGGAAAGGGGGCACGGATGAGGGGTGGAGGGGGTTCCCTCACGGCCAGCATGAGCTCTGGCACACTGACAGCCTGTAGCCAGCCCTCTGCTGCCCCCAGAAAGCCAACCAGGAGTGCAGCTGAGGCAGAGCACAGGAGAGGGTGAGCTGCGAGCCGGGGTTCTCTCCAGGCCCCGGAAAGCACTTGCCAATCTCTCAGTTCAACACCCACCCTGCCAACAGAGGAAGTGAAGGCTCATGTGGCAGAATGCTGGTCTTGAATGAGAAAGCTAAGCTTGCTAGGCCCCAGTCGAAGCCCCAGCATGCATGCACGCGCACGTGAGTGCACACACACACACACACACACAATCGCGGGAATGAAAGTAGGAAATGATGAGGTCTCTTTAATGTGCCACACCTCACAGTCCTCAGTGTCCCGGGCCTCAGGCCCCAGCTCCAAGCACAGAGGGGCTCTGGGTCCTGGACGTGACATGTGAACTCTTCTTGCTGTGTGGGCTCCTTGCAGGCCTGGGAAAGATGGTGGCGGGTGGGCGGGGCAGGTGGAACGCTGGCTTCTGTCCTGGTACCCAGGGTGGATCCTCTTGGTGAGGCCTGACATTCCAGGGGCTGCAGAAGCTGGGCCAAGGTCTTCTCAGGCCCAGGCCCTGGTCCTCTGTCCTCCCCGCTCCATGGACAGCAGCCTGGGCCTGAGTTGGGTCTGCCTAGATGCACCCTGTGTGGGATCAGTGTCTTCAGCCAGCCAGCTGTGTGGCAGGCCCCTCTGAGGTCTGTGGCTCATAAACAGGAAGGGGCTGGAAATGGGTGCGTCCAGCCATCTGGCTAACACTGCCAGGCCTCTGTCAGGCTGTGGGAAGTGTTCGTTGTCCTGGGTGGGTCACTGCAGTTGGTGTCCTTCCCTTCCCACCTCCAAGTCTCCACTTTTGGTGTCAATGCAAAGAGGGAGGACCCAGATACTCTTACCATGAAGTAAAACAAGAAACAAAAACCGTTGCCAGACTGGGGGATAGGGGGACCGTCTTCTTGGAGTTTTTCTTTTAAGCATTTTTTTTGCATGTGCCAGTACTCCACCAAAGCCATGCCCCGTCTACTGCTGTTCTCCATGTCTCTCCTGGCTGCTGCTGGCATTGGAGGTGGAGACTGTTGGGGGTGGAGGTGGCTGGTGAACTAGCGGCAGGCCTAGGGGCTGGGGGCTCCGGGATTTGGCCTGGAGTGACCTCAGGTTGGTCTCTGCTAGCATGGGAACAGCTCCTCACAGATCCTGCGTGTGTCCTCGGGGGCTGTGACCGTGTGGCCCACAGTTCTCGGGTCTGTGAAGATCTCGTGGTCATTGCCACCCTGCAGAGACACAAGCACGTATTTGGTACATGGCTCCACACTGCCCCAGGCCTCAAGGAAGCTGGTTTGTACTGCGGTGGGCAGGAAGTGCAGAAGAGTGTCAGGATTTAACCTTCCCCTGAACTGCAGATGAGCAGAGAACACATAATTATGCTTATGAAAGACATCTTGTCACTCTTGTGAAGATCTAAGAGGCTTATTTTTCTGTAAAGAAAGTGAACACAGCAAGTGACAGAATTCTCATAGCCATTGGGTGTGTTTCCTCCAGTGCTGGGACTTGCACGGGTCAGGAGGAGCGTGCTGCCAGTGGCCGTCCAGTGACAGGGCTGCAGGCTGAGGGCGTGATTTCAGGAATGGGTGGGCCACAGCCCGGCTTTCAGCTGCGGAGACTCCAGTCTCTACAGTGAAGATCCCAGTGCTTTCTAGTTTGGAGGCAGGATCCTGGCAGCCCAGGCTGGCCTGGAACTCAATCCTCCGGCCTCAGTGTCTCTAAGGAGGATTACAGGTGCAGGCTGTAAGATGGTGGTCCAGGGAGAGCCTTGCTCTGCTGCCTGGTGTGGCTCTGGGGAAAGTGTCCTCCTCCTGCTGGTGCTGGCCCATACCACTGCGGCAGCTCTCAATTCCCAGTTTCAGTGTGGCCACAGCTTGGGATTTCAAGTCCCAATTCCCATTGTCCCAGGAGCCCTCGCCCAGCCTTCCCTCCCCTCCTCCGTTCCTGACATTTACATTGGATGGTGGGAGGAGAGCAGGCTTTGAAGTGCAGAGGGTTCACAGCACCAGAGGCAGGGCCTCTGGGAGATGCGAGAAGCAAGGTAATATTTAATTCAAGAGCCACACAGAAAGGATCCACTAACGTGCTGCAGAGTGACCCTGGACTCTGCTGGGACACTGGCACCTGATCTTGGAGGCTCCACCCCTCTGAGGACAGAAGCCATTGCTCGGCTTGAGCTAGGGACAGACAGCCTCATCACCACCGCCTTCCCAATTCATGCCCAACCGAACTGAACACACTGCAAAAACGTGGTCATACTTACTGGCATGGTTTTGTCTCCAAAGAAATATATGGTCTTAAAACCGTCATTTTCCAAGTGTCTCAGGCAGTACCTCTTGTCCCACCCCTCAGGAAAGACATCAAAGCTGATCTGGCCTCCTGCCAGGAGGGGAGCAGACAAAGGAAAAGCCACAGTGAAAAGGATGAGGAAAGCGCTGGGCTGTGGTACCCACACCTGTAATCCTAGCCACTCAGGACACTGAAATCTGAGGATGGTCGTTGGAAGCCAGCCTGGGCAGGAAAGTTAGTGAGACTCTTATTTCCAATTAACCACCCAAAAGCCCAAAGTGCAACGCATAAGCCCTGAGCAGAAAAGCCAAGGAACAGCGCCCAAGCAAAATGGCAAAATGCAGGCAGGAAGAGTCCTGCTATGACAGGATGGAGAGCCATCCCCACAGTGTGAGCCACTTCTGAACTGGGGATGTCCTGGCCATGTAGAGAGGGGGCCAGCTCCTGACAGCCTGCACTGCCCGCCTAAGTGATCTCCCAACCTGACCCACATTGAGCCCAGGGCGGCCCTCAGTAGCTCAGCCACCCCTAACAAATTCCTGACAAGTGGACATCAAAGTGTGTGGCACATCTCCATATACTCTACCTATGGAAAACGTGAGGCCTTTCCCCGCAAACTCCTTCCGCAGGTCTGCTACAAATTTTTGTCGTATATTTTCTTTCTAAGGGGGGGAAAAAGATGCATTAGGTACTGGCCACATGTGTTGCTTCCCTAAGTCCAGCTGCTCCCAGGGCATTTCAGCACCTACTTTATCCAGCTCGTAGAACTCAATTCGTTCTTCCTGGCTACAACTCCTTCCAATAGGGGATACATTCAACATCCCATTTCGGAATTCAATGAAAGTTCCCCTGGGAAGGAAAGAAAAGAGGAGCGGTCCCTCAAATTCCTACTCACTTGAGCAGCACCTCAGGTGGGAAAGCAGCTGAGCAGCTGGGCGATTTTAGACAGAAGGGGCTCATGGGACATACGGTAGCCTTGAAATGTGGCTAATGTGCGTTGAGACCCAGGATGAAAACAAATGGAATGGGAGAGAATGCTGATCAAGCACAAACTGCCCTGTCGAGAGCAAACCCTCTGTGTAACAAGTTAAGGATAACTTAAAAAAAGGATGACGGTGGCTCATGCCCTTAATCCTACTCAGGAGGCTGAGATCTAAGGACCGAGGTTCAAAGCCCAACCTGGGCAGGAAAGTCCCTGAGATTTTTTTTTTTTTTCGGTCTGGGGACTTGTACTCTGGGCCTGGGCACTGTCCCTCAACAATTCAGTTCAAGGCGAGCGTTCTACCAGTTTTCTGGTAGTTTATTGGAGATAAAGAGTCTCACAGACTTTCTTGCCAGGGCTGGCTTTGAACCGTGGTCCTCAGATCTCAGCAGTAGCTAGGATAACAGGCGTGAGCCACTGGCACCTGGCTCCCTGAAACTCAAGCTGAAGAGCTCAGGAACAGTACCCAGGCCCAGAGTTCAAGTCCCACAACCGAGTGAGATGTGAGCTGCATACAAAAGACAGGGATGTGCGCATGTGCTGGGAGAAGGGCTGCCACGAGGGGAGGGGAACCAATGCCAGGTCTTTGGCTCTGCCGACAGAGGCCAGACATCCAGACATTCTGAAATGGGAAATCAGACTGGTAAGTGATTGATTCTGATTGTATCTGATGCTAGGGGCCTCCAGCTAGAATCTTCCATATGTGGAATCTCATTGTTCTTTTTACAAGCTCGGTCACAGGTGCTTCACCTCACTAACAGCCTCTGACAGTGCACCATTTCCCACGGCTGAGCCACTGGACATAGCATCCTATGCTTACACTACTGGCCTTACAGACTGTTTCCAACTTTTTTTCCTTTCTTTGGAGATTCTCCTACCTCTGCCTCCTGAGTGCTGGGATTATAGGCATGCAACACCCCTCCTGGCTTTCCATTTCTTCTTCTTAAGTGCTGGGTTCTGGGTATAAATGAAACTGAGTCTACCAAATGACATTGTTCCACGTTCCAGTAGAGCCTCTGGGCTCAGAGCAAACTCACCTTTTCTTCGGGAGTTTAATTTTTGCTATGTAGCTCAGACAGTAGTTGATTACGTCTTGGATTAGGGCCTCACCCAGATGACCTTGGATATTCTACACAGAGAAAACACTGGAGTTACTTTATTAAGCAGGAAGTGTTTTCAACCAGCTTTCCAGTAAACCAGTTCTTCAACCTCTGTTTCTGGAAAGCCACAGGCTGCTGCAGCCAGGCTGGCAGCAGTGCCAGCAGCAGGGCCAGTGCCACCCCACTGCATTCTTACCTCTCCCAAGCCACAAAGGCTTTGCTCAAAACCACTTTCTGCCTCATTACTCAAGAGCTTTGTGTTCGTTGCCTTGCAAACACTTCCTGGAAGGTCTAGAGAGCTTACTGTTGTTGCTTTTATCCAATTAAAACATGGCCAGATAATGATAGAGATTGTATTTGTTCCACTTTAGCTTTTTCTTCTGTGAGAGCTACAACTACTTCTTAGAGCTGCTTTCAATAGGCCACCAGGCCTTGTTTTTGCTCTCATGATAAATATTAGACAGAAACACTCTCCAAAACCAATGATACAAGTTTACTGACCAATCCAGAGTAGTATTATAATAGCCTGTCTCATGGTTCAAAATTTTGTATTTTAACGGTTATACAGTTTAGATTCCCTCCCTCCCATCCCCCAGCTCCCTGGCACCTCCCTGGAGACATCCAATGTCAAATACCCTTTTAGACAACATTTTTATGGTAGGAATAGTAGATCATTTACTGAAGAACCTACCTGTTTACACAAGAATTTCCCATCTTTGTAGGCCACCAAGCCATTTTCTGAGAACACATAATCATATTTCTCAACCACTACAATCAAAACAAAAGACAACTCAGAATGCAATATAAACACCTACATTTCCATTTTGATTAACCCCCAGCACCAATAAAGCAGCTGAACTCCGGGAAGAACCACGAAGGACAAGTTCATCTTAGCACACAGTGTGTGGTGCAGGGCTCCTGGCATTTAGATCTGAAGGATGAAGACCGGCTTGGAGGTGGGAGGGTGGCTGGGGGTTCTGGGTCCCTCCCTGCCTTCAGCTGGCCTGCCTGCGAGGAGTGGCTGGCTCCTCACAGCTCCTCAGCCCCACCACGGGCCAGCAGCAGCGCGATCATGCTTTCTACACCAGAAATTGGTGGGGGACAGGCTGAGAATCACAACTTTTTTTTTTTTTTTTTTTAAGGTGAGGCTTGTAATCAAGTCTGACATGGAAACTACCACATCCTTCAGGCACTTGTTAAAATGCAGATTTCCAGGCCCAGCGCCACTTGGCTGCATCTGTGTTGGTGGGCACGCACATTTGAAATTTAACAAAGTAACTGACTGATGCACGTGGCTTTAGGCTGTTGTCTAGATGTGTGCTTTGCCTTTGCTGTTTCACACTCTCTGGAGAGCACAGACACTCTTCTATCCCTGACCACGTGTTAAATACACCACCAAAAGCAGGAAGCACAATCAGCACCAGACAACAGGATATCTGGGGCTTAATGCAGCCATTAAGTCATTCATAGCATTTCCAAACGCATCTACAAGGAAATTAGGTGTAAGTGGAACAGAAAGCTTTAAAGGGACTGCGTGAATTACTTTTCCAGAAGCCAGGATCCAGTAAGCTCAGTCTACACAAATTTGTACTCCTTAAGATATGACATGCAGAACAGTCCTTCCCCATACTGTCTCAGGGGACGTGGGTAAAGCTTCCTTTGCGTGTACTCTACTGGCATCTAGTGGGTAGAGGTCAAGGACAGTGCTCAATACTCAGGCCAACCCCATAGCAGAGAATTACGCAGCCCACGATACCAATAATATCAGGGCTGAGAAACTGTGCTCCAGAGGAGTTGGTTCCAACTCTGGCAAGAAGGGTATGGTTCTTGTTTTGTTCTGTACAGAAGATACTCTTGCCTCAAGCCTTTTGAGTGTGTGTGTGTGTGTGTGTGTGGGAGGGTGGCTGGGGGTTCTGGGTCCCTCCCTGCCCTCACTGCCCAGCATGACAAGGGGTTTTAAAGAACTATTCGTCCATCTTCCTACCCACCATCTCTCAGAGGCCAGCATCCCAAAGGCACCTGCAGAGACCAGTCCTGGGGTTCATGGCACACAAAACCAGAGTTCCTCGAAATCAGAGAGCCCCATTGGCAGCTGTGCACAAAAATCTCTGAGCGTATTTGCTACAACACAGTTCCCAGGTCCCATAGATCTACTGAATCAGAATCTGCAAGGAAGGAGCCAATAAAACTTTCTGGGTTTAGTACATGTGAAGAGCCTGGTGACTCATCTCCCATGACATGACTGGGGAACTCAGGGAACTCTAGGTTAGGACAACAGCGGGGAGGAACCTAGGCCCAGAGGGTACCCCATCTGGGTAAAGACAGCCTGACATGGGGTCAGGCTGAGGCTGCAGGGCAAGGATAGAGGACGAGCAAGCAGTCCAGGTAGAAAGATTTCTGTGTGCAATCTACCCATGAAGGGTCCATCAATGACTCCAGGACTTACAGGATTAAAAGCAAAGGAGGGCAAAGGCAGAGAATACTCTTTCCTCAAGGAAGCAGAAAGGGTGGCTTACGGGGAGGGCTGCAGACTGTACTTGAGACGGGGCCCAGTATCTTCAGGAGAAGTTAATCTTTGACAAAATGCAATTAGCAATGGATTGGTTACCATCGTTTCCCAGCTGCTCTTGCACTTTCTCAAAGTCCGACCCGCCTACCACTCCGATTTTCGTCTTCTGCCTCAATTTTTGTAGAAAGTCATCCATTTCCTTCGTAATTTTCTACATTTCAAGGAGGAACATGTAACAGTCATGAGCCATAAAATAACCCAACTCCTATTCTTATACATAGCCAGTTAAGTTACCAGGTCTGTAGTTTTCTATATATACTCAGGCATGTGAGTTATAATTTTGTCTATGAAGTTTGTATTGGAATAAACTCGTAAAATTTAACATACATTTACCCAAACTTAAACACATAGGAATTTATGAGTAGTTGTGTTGCTCTAGCTTTTTGCTGTTGTTTAGACATGGGGGGATGGGGAGGGGTCTTGCAATGTTGCCCAAGCTGATTTTGAATTCCTGGGTTTAAGAGATCCTCTTGTCTCAGTCTCCTGGGTAGCTGGTATTACAAGTTGTATGCATGATACTATCAGTTATGTTTGCTTAGTTTTGTTTTGAGACAGGAACTTACTATGTAACCTTGGGATATAGCAACATCTGTTTGTGTACAAGATATCTATGGCGGAAGTGGCGCTGTAGCTCAAGTGGTAGAGCGCTCCCCTTGAGCTGAAGAGCTGAGGGACAGCGCCCAGGCCCAGAGTTCAAGCCCCACGGCCAACCAAAAAAAAAAGATATCTATGGCTTCAAAGCAGAGAAGAGCAGTTGTGACAGGCCGTGTGCTCTGCGGAGTCTCCCAATATTCACTGTAAGCTATTAGGTGTGGTTACAGATTATAGTCTTGGTTCTTACGGAATGCAAGCTAAGATATTAAGGGAGATACACTAAGATGACCACTGTCTAGAAGGGTAGAGATAAAGTTAACATGATGAAGTGTCAACTATTTTTACATATGGGATATAGTTATTCTGTGTATTTCTCTTCAATGATTCATGGTTCATCAAAAAAAAAAATTAATGCTCTAAAGAAAGAGAATGACTCATGTGGGTTTATAGGCCCTTCTTTTTGAAAGCTTTTGTTCTAAGTCTCAATTGTTTTAGATGGAATGGCACTTTAAGCAAAGTACTTTGCACAAAAAACCTCCTACTGAAACTGTGATTCGTGCAACTCTTTTATTAGAGTTCATGTGAACTAGATTTAACCTGTGTCAATCATATCCTGTTATAACAGCAATAAAAGATATCCTGTTCTTTCCCTTTCAAATTGCATTGTGCTTATCAAATATTTGAGGATACACATATGTCAGGGGAAAGGCCGTATAAGATCTATGCTATTTTGTTACCTGTAGTTCCCAGCCCATAGAAAAAATACCTTCTAAATGATAAGATTTTTTTTTCTGAACGTAAAACTTATTTTTCACAGCAAAGAAAAATAATGTTTCAAGGGAACATATTCTGGGGCACCTGGCTTTTTTGTGAATTGCACTTTATGCTTAAGATATCCTGATGTTTTCTGGGCACCAACACTAAACTAACAGCATACCCAGCATCTGGAAATTTCAATCTTGACAAATAATGCTTTTGAGGCCCAGGAAATTCCTTTAGGTCTGCTTTGTGAATTCAATGTCAGGGGCTTGAAATTGGGTTCCAGTTTCCTTATTAGTTTTTCTACCAGTCCTGGGGCTTGAACTCAGGGTCTGGGCCCCGTCTGAGCTTTTTTGCTCAAGGCTAGCAGCACTCTACCCCTCTGAGCCACAGGTCCACTTCCGCTTTTTTTTTTCTTGTTTGTTTTTGAGTCGGTAATTGGAGAAAAGAGTTTCTTGGAGACTTTTCTGTCTGGATTGGCTCTGAACCCTGATCCTCAGATCTCAGCCTTCTGAGTAGCTAGGAATAGACACGTGAACCACTGGCCCCCGGCTTTTGAAATACTAATAAAAAACTACCCTACCTAGGATGAAAGATGGAGGGAGACAAGGAGTCCCACACTGAGTAAAAAAGGATTAGAGGGGGGGCTGGGAAGGTGGCTCAGTGGTAGAGTGCTTGCCTTGCATGCCTGAGACCTTGGGTTCGATTCCTCAGCACCACATAAGCAAAAAGAAAAAAGCCGGAAGTGGCGCTGTGGCTCAAGTGGTAGAGCCTTGAGCTGAAGA